CAGAATGCTGTGCAGAGCACATCTCCCTGGGAGGCTCCTGTGTGGGATGGAGACAAGTGCTGGGTTGTGTGGATGAGGCACATGGGGAAGGATAAACGGTGCCCCACCTGTAGGCTCAGCTGATTCCACCCCCAACAGGAAACAATTGTGGTCTATCCTCCTGAGTCCCGAGGCCCTGCCCTACAGAGCTTGCAGAGGTTGGTTTCACTCTACCTGAACCTGCGATGTGCTCCTTCCAGGGGAGCGAGGGTCAGAGTCTCGGCATAGACTGAGTGGTCTGGCTCTGGAATAGGGGCCGCTTTCACCCCATTGAGTGCCCGACCATGTTGTCCTCCAAGTAGAAGACCCTCTAGCCCCATCCCCCTGATCCCAGCCACCTGCCCTACTGCACTCATGCCTTGTGGAAGGGTCTGAAGGATGCGACCAGCTTGAGCCCATTCTACAGTCTCTCTGCAGGAGGCTCACAAGGAAGGCCAGATAACCTCAGGGAGTAGTAGTGTGGCCAACAGAAGGAGGCGGGCCTCAGGGTGCCTTGGAGCTTTTACTGGTCTGCCCTGGTTCAGAACTGGAGGAAGCCAAACCTTGTACACAGCTTTGTATCTCCCATGCACACCCAGGCCCAGTAGAAGCAGCCACAAATAACAAACTGTGTGGTAGCTCTAGACAGGTAGCCCAAGGTTGGTTACAGGGAGTGTCTGAAATCAATCTGCACCAGGACCCCATTCAAATGGACCCGGAACCAACACAACCAGCGGTGGGCTTCAGACCACACCAGAGCATGATCCAGCTAACCACACAAGTGGCACACCCAAAGGAAGAACCCAGCAGGGACCAGACCCTGCTGAAAACAACCACACTCGGGAGACAGCTGCCACAAAGGGTCTCAGACACTGTCATCAAAGTCTATCCTTACAGTCAGCCAGCCTGAGGGTTAACCCCATCTGCGAACAGGCCAACAGCACTCAAGACTGAACTACAACAGAGGGAACATACAACTCGCACAGGAAACATTCTGGGAGCCCCCAGCTCAGGTGATCAAGAAGATTGCATGACTGAGCCCCACAACAAAACTCCAACATATTATAAAACCACCATAATAAGTTTGAGAGTCATAGCAAATCTAGATACTACACAGTGACAAACACAAGAAGGCATATAAATAGGGAGACAAAGAAATATGCCTCAAATAAAAAAATAAGAGTAATCCTCAGAAAAAATAAATGAAATGTAAGCAACTGAGATACCAGATGCAGATTTCAAAAATGCTTCTTATCTGGACACACAAGCAACACCATCTGTAGTTTATGGACAGCCACACATGCAAGAGGAGTATGAAACCACCTTGGGAAGGATGCAAACCAACATCAGAATACTAGCTTTGGTGGGTGGAGGAGGGAAGGATTGGTAGTGGGGGTGGGGAAATGGGGAAGCATTCCCACCAGGTTTTATTTCCTCAGGATGGACAGAAGGGCACCTGAAGTAGTCAATACGTCAACATGTGTTGTACTCTGGACTGTGATAGACTACTGTTTTCACCTTTTGTGGCTGTTTGAATCACTTCATATACATACTTACACATGCATACATCTATACATATACATTTAATTTTTTAAGATCTCCAGAGAACACATGGAATAATGTAAATGGACTATAGTATGCCTTATGATCCTATATAATAAAAGGCTAATATGCAAATTGTCCAAACAGCAGAATGACCGGTTGCCATGACATGCACTGACCACTCCTGCATTGGGCACTCCTGAGAAATGCTGACTTTTGAAGACTAATTTCTCTAATAAATCATGTTATATTAATTAGCTAAAGTTAAAGAATGCTCAATGCAGGAGCTGTCTCCTGGTGGACAGTGCACTCCCACAGGGGGAGTGCAGCTCAGCCAGTAGCCTGGTTCATGGCTGGCGAGCACAGCAGCAGTGGTGGGAGCCTCTCCCACCTCTGTGGCAGCACTAAGGATGTCTGACTGAAGCTTAGGTAGCCATCAGTCGGACATCCCCTAAGGATCCCAGACTGCAAGAGGGCACAGGCCAGACTGTGCACCTCTCGGTTACAATGCCAGCCTAGTTTAAAAATAAAGAAATTGAATATGTGGTGAGGGAAAGGCCTGTTTAACTTTACTTATTCAGTGTTTCTTATAATTCAATGTTTCTTATCCCTGAGACTTTCGCCTTTTCTATTTTTTTTTTTTATTTCTGATCATCTGGATTATACAAGTTTCACAGACGACGCTTTGAGAAATGATTTTTTTTTGAGACAAAAGGCTCAGAAATAAAGTTAAAGAGAACACAACTAGTTCACTGAAGTTAATGTCAAATTGAGTTTGATTTTGACCAACACAAAGAATAAGTTGGAATGTCTGACCTTTCTGAAGTAGCCAAGGCACATCAGTCATTCAATACCCTGCCTAATTGTAAGCATCACTTCAAGAGATGTTGCTTTGAGAACTACTGATGTAGATAACGTAAAATTCAGTAGGGATCATACCTTCTCCTTAAAACTTACAACTTCATAAAAAAAAAAAAAAAGATTCCAGCTATTTAAAAAAAAAAAAGTCTATTTCACAAGTGTTTTACTGCACAACTATTTTGAGGGAAGAATTTTGTTTTCTAGACCATGAACTGCATTGCTATTCAAATAAATGGCATTATGGGATACCACTGAAGTACTTATTTTCTCATAAGGCCATAATGGTTTAAAAAGAAACAATGTAATCCATTGGACATTGATCTGAAAAGTACACAATCTCCGAGGACCTGCACACCATTAGTACTATTTCCCCGCAGTGTCCCTAAGCTCTTCTGAGAGAGCAGCATGAACCGAGGGTAAACATTTGTATGGAACTTTATAATTTAAAAATATATTTTTGCACTATGTTACCAGGTGAGAAATTGGTATTTCATACATTCATGCAACTCCTAGCCCACAGGGTGACAATTATTCTACTCATTTTTCAAAGGCTCCGAGACGTTCAGTGTCATTGAACTGGTCTAGGTCTCACCTCAGGTAGCTGACAGCTGAATCAGAACCTGGGTCTGTGAAGCCAGACTCCTCCGCTGTGAATTAGGGATTATAACCAGCACTCACCTCAAGACTCCTGGAGCACACACGATGATCCATGCCAGGCATTGGTGAATTTATCAGTATCATTTCTAACTTTGTAACATGTAACTTCATCTTGATTATAGTTTAACACAAACCAGTGCTGAGCTTTACAACGCAAGGGCAACATTTTCTCACTAACTTGTGTGGCAAATACTCCTCCTGGATGTTTTAAAGTAACCTGCTTGAGGAATTTCAGGTGTTTGGCTGTTTTGCTCTACAGCTATGCTCATCGAGAAAACAATGTTGCTTAGTCACACAGAGAGGTGGTCTGATGTTTAGGTCAGTGTATAAGCTTCTGGGATGGTGTGTTCCCCCCACCTTTGTCCTGAGGATAGCTAACACCTCAGCATTTGACAGGATGACGAGACTGCTTGTTGCCTCCTTCCATTGGGGTGTTCTAGCTATAACACTATAAAGAGACTTCAGAGGGAGGGGGGGAATATCTTTAGAAAGTTTTCCTCCTTCTATTCAAACCAAGCAGGTTGTAGAAGACAATGAAGGCTGTGATAACACAGGGAACCTTTGAAGACCATGTGATAACACAGAATAACCTTTGGATAATTGCAGCCATGTATTTAATGAGGGAGGATGTATCATGACCAGTCTCATGATCAGATTTCCTTTTGAACCCTGAGTTTCATGTAATTCTATTTTTTCTTTAACTTTAGCTAATTAATATAACATGATTTATTAGAAAATTAGCCTTCAAAAGTCAGCTTTTCTCAGGAGTGCCCAAATTTTGAACCCAGGAAATCAGAGCGCTCTTTTTCGTAGCGTGTAGATGTGCTATATTGCATCTGTAACACACTGGCTGCATGACTCAAAGTTTAGATTACAAACCCCCTCTTAGTGTGTTCTTGTGCCTTCTCTGTCCCTCCAAATTTACAGATAGATTCCTACTTAAGAGTGCTGGAAGACTTCTTGCTACTTGTGTGGGTTAAATGAATAGTACTATAATATTTAGAATCTAAGAACAGTAAGTAAAATAAATCATCTGTAAACGGTACATGAACTCACCTTGTGCCCAATAGCGGTGGATGCAAAATTGCTAAGATTTCCTGAGTAAAGAGCATATCAAATCACAGCAACCATTTCACTTAGTACTGAGAACCAGGATAAAAAGCAGAGTCCTACCTGGGCTCTTGGTGTCTGTTTCCAGCATAAAGGCAGGAAAGCATCTGATTTGCTCATCAGCTGCTCATTAGTGCCCAGGTTCCTGTGTGACAGGTGGTAGGCAACTGGCACGTCTCTACGGAATAAATGATTGAATGGATGAGTGAATGAAGGTGAAATCACTGTATCAAATAGAAAATTTATTATGCATTTAAGGGGGGGGGTGTGGGCTGTGTTGAGACACGTGCAAGATTGAAGTAGCTTCAAACCTTGATGAAAGTAGGTCTGCAAATTACCATTTACAACTTATTATGATAATACTACAGAAGTCAATCTATAGCAATTTGACTCTGAATCAGAGCTGGAGAAGGCACTTTGACCTCATGACCTCATCTTTGGTCAACCCAGATAAATGCCAGAGATGTAGGACAGATCTATCCAACTTTTATTATGAGAAGGTCTGAGAGAAAACACAACAAAATCCAGTGTAACATGGGTGGGCCTTTTACTGGTAAGCTTGGGGCTGGCTAATTAGGAAGCATGATCCCACTGATAACCTTACTAAGGCTACAAAGCACAAAGAGGAAGGCTGCAGACATCTCAGAATGGAGAAGAAATAGTCACAAGAGTCACAAGTGATGTGTGTGTTCCTCAATGGTGCATGGTCCCCATTCTTATTTTGCACCCAAGTCATCACAGACACAATTATGCTTCTGCCTTGGCAAATACAGGGTCATGGCACCACTGACTTTTGCTCATTTCTCTTTCAGGCCCTGCTGCAAAAAAGAAGTATGTCAGTTATAACAACCTGGTGATCTAAGCTGTTCCATTCCTTGGAACCACGGAGGAGGAAGACCCTCAGTTATTTCGTCATCCAACCCGGCACAGGACTCTTTTGGTCCTGCCCGCTGCCCATCACCGGAGGAGCATCCTCAGCCGGAAGACCAATCAATATTAGAGGATCCAAGTGTCCAACACAGCTGCTTTATGAAATATTCCTACTTTATCTTGGCTTAATAAGTCACTGGCATCAGCACTGCCAACTTGGCTGCAGTTTTGGACCTTCCCTGCGGAAGGGAGTGTTGAAACTCAAGTCCCACCCAGGCTCTCTAGGATGAACTGCCAAGAGCCGCCATGACTGTTCTCGGGGCTGACCTGTCTCTTTCTACGTATGTACACCCAGGTTGCAAGGTTTTGAAATTTTCTGTACAGATTGTGAGGACTTTTGCACTTTGCCATCCGATGTTGTACCTCGGTTCACCGTTTGTTTTCGAATGCCCTGTTTTCATAGCGCCCTATTCTCTCAGACGGCAAGATATTTGGGGAAATTTTAAAACAAAAATTTTAAAAAAGATCTCGGCGGACTAAAATCTATATTTAAACCACACACACACACACACACACACACACACACACACACACGACTGTATAATTATGAGTATAGTACCGTTGCAAATCATGTTATTTTTTTTAAGACAAAAAGATACTTAAAGACCAATAACTGTGCTGATATAGTAGGTCCCACCTATCTGTCGATAGGTCACACAAAAGGAAGGTATAGGCTGAACTGAATAGAGGTCTTGATGTTCGGAATGCATGCCGGTAATGTATTTTACAGTACATGTTAATACTATGTTCGATATTTGTATTTGTGTTCTTCTCCTGTTATTTTATTTAGGGTATCTGGATATTTTGCAGTAATTTTAATAATGCTCAAGCTCTTTGAAGAAAAGAATATGGATTTTTCATGTCTTGAGGTTTTGTTCTTGCCCCCCTATGACTGACTGGTGTGATAAGGACTTTTAAAAAAAAGCATGTATGTTTTCTACTGTTTGTAATAAGTACTTTCGTTAATCTTGCTGCTTATGTGCCAATTTAGTGGAGAAATTCCTTGCTGAGAAATTCCTTCTTTCCATTCTCTTTCAATTCTGTGATATTGTCCAAGAATGTATCAATAAAATACTTTGGTTAACTTTTGTATTTCCTGCAATTAAGTATGTTTAGTTGTTTTTCCCCTTCAAGTTACAGTTTATTTCGTAAAATCCGAAGCCTGGGAGCAATGGAGCCCACAGTCATTCAAGGCACAAGCCTGAGCTCACAGCTGCAGCCAGACCTCAAAGAAAGGAACGCTACAGCGCCCACACATTCTGTTTTTTCATAATTGAAGTTGAAGCCTGACAACCCTCAGACATTTACTCAGCAAGTTGCCTATCAAAAAATACAGCAAAAACGCCAGAGGGAACGGGAAAGTACAGGAGAAATACTAGTTTCAATAAACAGCAAGCTGGGGACAGTTTAGTGAAAAGATAAATCTCTCTGCCAAACATAGAGGACATAAGTGAGTAAAGATAACTCTAACAAAGCATTTGTCTATATTTGCAAACAGACTCTGTGGCCATGTTGTTGATGACAAGATTAAAATTGAGGATCCCAAAACTCAGCAATTGGGGAATACCCTCATGAGTTAACAATAGTAATTTGGGGAACAAAAGCACAAAAGATTATCTATTTGCAGAGTGGTACTGGTCCTTAGCATTCAGGGATGGACCCCCCAAATGCATTTAAATGACCCCCGGTGCATCTCACTGACTAATCTCCTACTGTAGCTATCAAAACCCATGCCTGCCTCCCCCTTTGGCATTCGCTGATCTTCCTGTTGACTCTCGGCTCCCTGGGCCCAAGCCACGTGTGTGCAAACCTAGGAAACTCGTTTCCATGGCTACTAAGAAAATGCCTGTTTTCCTCTCCCTTAATCACACCTTCGATGTCAGACCGTGGAGGGAAATGCAAAGCACAACAAAAATGAACTTGGACTAGTCACCTTTTCAAGTTGGGGAGACAAACAATTTACTATACAACCTGGCCGCCTCTCCTGCCAGCTGCCCTGGGGAATGTGACATAAACCATGTGAACGCTCCATTTCCTCAACTGGAACATGAGTAACATTACTACCTAGCTCATACGTCTGAGAGGATTGATAGGCCTAACTTACCATACATGTTAGCTATCATTACCCCCACCACCAACAGCATCAGCACCCATCAAGCTTGTTGGATTTTGTCGTAAAAAGAAATTGAGTGTGTAGTGTTTCTTTTTGTCGTAAAAAGAAATTGAGTGTGTAGTGTGTAGCAGAGTCTGTACCACAAAACATGAGCAAGCCAGCCTGTCTTCTGGCTATTTAGTAGAAACATTTTTCCCCCACAAAGAAACTGCATAAGAGCCTATCTCAATTATTCAAATGTCTAACCAAGAGTGTGGGCAAATAACAAATGCAATGCCATTTAGGTTTGGAAAGAGGGGGCTGCCAAAGACCTTTGCTCTGAGGCTGGATCCTCAGGGCAGAACTGAGGTCAAGAGTGATCGTGATCAGCACAAGGATAAAAGCTAAAGCTTCTACAGCACCATGTGCAAGACACTGTTGTTTCTTTAAAATATATGTTTATGGATTTCAGAGAGAGAGATAGAAACATCAATGATGAGAGAGAACCCTGCACACCCCACACTGTGGATTGAGCCTGCAACCCGGACATGTGCCCTGACCAGGAATCAAACCATCACCTCCTAGTTCATAGGTCGATGCTCAACCATTGAGCATGCAGGCCAGGCAAGACGTTATTTATATACATTGTATATTTTACATATTACAAACTTTATGTATATAAATATGTATTACAATGTATATTTTATAGACATCAATTTAATCTTCAAGATGCAGTTCTAACATTTTCCACAACCCCCATTATTACACAATACTTGAATTAAAGTGTGCCAGTAGCCACAGGACAGACCTAGTAGAAAGTATTGTCATTAGGAAGCAAGGAACGTCCACCCTCCCACATGTGTCAAACACAAGGCCCGCAGGCCAAATCCGTCTCGCCAGGCCTTGCAATGTGGCCTGCACCGCGCTGTCATCACTGCACTCCGCTGCGTTTCCATCACAATGACAGTTTATGACTGTTCAGTAAACAATTCGGCCCGCGATTTAGGCTGGATTTTAGATTTTGGCCCCTTCTCTGATTGAGTTTGACACCCCTACTAGCCTCACAGGTTCCCTTGCTTTTCCTCAAATACACCGAGCACCTCCCACACCTCTTCTCTTGTTTGGCATGCTTTCCCCCAAATATCTGCAGGACTCCACTTCCTATTTCTAGTTTCTCCTTAACTATCATCATGATGGAGGTCTTTCAGGACCCTACCAAACAGGGCAGCCAGCCATGCCACATCAGAGTGAATTCATTACGTGCTTTATCTTTCTTTATAATACATCAGTACTGGACTTGATAGATTTACTTTTTTTAGTAAGTCTCTTCTGCAGTAACACGTAGAAGATAGGACATTCTCTGTTTTGCTCACTGCACTTTCCCAGCACTTAGAACAGTGCCTGACAAGGAGTAGTCATTCCATAATATTTATAGAAGAATCAGTGAAAGAAAGGATAGACGGGTATAAAGTTAAAGAGCTCTAGACCAGTGGTCAGCAAACTCATTAGTCAATAGAGCCAAATATCAACAGTACAATTGAAATTTCTTTTGAGAGCCAAATTTTTTAAAGTTAAACTTCCTCTAATGCCACTTCTTCAAAATAGACTCGCCCAGGCCGTGGTGTTTTGTGGAAGAGCCACACTCAAGGGGCCAAAGAGCCGCATGTGGCTCTCAAGCCTCAGTTTGCTGACCATGTTCCTAGACTATGAAAGGAGGGCTGGGGGAGCCTGAGTTAGTGGGTATAACAGGCTCTATGTCAAGGGGGCTTGGAGCTGGGTCTTTAGGGACAGACAAGACTCAGGTAATCAAGTGAAGAGACGAGACTGAACATTTGACACTCAGCCTGGGCAGTAAAGGAGAGAGCTGATACTATCAAAAGAGAAACCACCTCCTTAGGAAGCAAAGTGGGAGCCTGAGGCAGGTAGCTAGATATTCTAAGTCAGAAACCTTTTCACCCAAAGGAGAATGGGAGGCGCAGGGAGGGGGCATGCAGGAAAGCACAGATTCAGAACTGGAACCAGAACACCCAGGTTAGAGCCCTGAGCTGCACCACTGACCAGCTGTACGATCCTGGGCAGCCCCCACACCCCTGGCATCCTTATCTTTACAATGGAGACAGAGCACAGAGTCGGGTCTTTTCATTAATCAGGCCACTCAGATGAACTTGTTCGATTCATAATCAAAACATGTTCAAAAATCTGAACACAAAAATCTAAAACCATGTTGGAGGTAATGGCTGGGGTATAAGCAGGGAAAAATAATCACCGATTTGCTGTCAACATGATGAACTCTGCCTAAGGTATCCAGCAGGGCTTTTGGCCACTGTTTTACACAAATAAATGCAAATAGGCTCCAATGGACTAAAAATTCCTCAATCCCAGAACCAGTTGCTGCTGCTGTGTTACTTCTCATTTGAGATGTTTTCCTCTATTAAATAATCCTGTTGTAAATTTGCTTTAGCATGCCTTCTCTTGAATGTTTGTTTAGATTCTCATAATTATATATATTCTCTACCTTTCCAAACACACGGGTAGTGATAAGTGTACCTTCCCAGTCAATCCTCAGCCAACATTCAAGAACAATAAGCCCTAAAGGCTTCTATCAGAGATCCAAGACTTTGCTGACTGTGGTGCATTAGGTGGATATCGGTGTGGTCATATCTCTAGCTAGAACCCGCCCCTCCCAACCCCCACACAAAACAAAACAAACCTGCAGACATTACCAGCATGTGTTATTTACCTTTGCACAATAAAAATATTAAGAAGAAATGAACCAGCCGAAGTTGGTTTGGCTCAGTGGACAGAGCGCCAACCTGGGGACTGAAACGCCCCAGGTTTGATTCTGATCAAGGCATGTACCTTGGTTGTGGGCACCAGTAGGGGTGTGCAGGAGGCAGCTGGTCAATGTCTCTCTCATCGATGTTTCTAACTATGTATCCCTCTCCCTTCCTCTCTGTAAAAAAATAAAAAAAATTTTTTTAAAGAAGAAAAAAAATGAACCAAAGCAAAGGACATCTACCATGCCTTGTGAAATCAACACACATATCTATGGTGTCTCTGACTCTCCATCACAGAAGAGAAATCAGACCAACAATCCTATCATTCATGACTCCTGAGTGAATTATGGGTCTAGCTTTTTCTCTCCAAGTCTTAATAAGGCATTGGCCTGGAATTCTGTCAGGGCATCAAATCAGGTTCATAAATTATCCTCAAGGTCTTTCTTTACCACATTCTGGTCATGTTGCAGCACCTCAATACACTGAGCACACACCCATTCTCCAGGACTCCTCATAGGGAGGGGGGAAGGCCAGGCAAATCTTAAAACCTGGAGGAAAGCCCTGGTTTCCTCACATTTCCCAACTCACTAAGTTCTGGGATCAAACATTGGTTCCTGGCCTTAATGTTGACCTAATAGTCTAGTTTGTTTGGCCAAGGGACAATAATGTGAGTACTGCCCAAGGAGATATGGGCAACTCAAGCATGTAAGTCTCAGAGAACACCCATTTCTCTCACTCATGTGACCTGCCTGTCATCTGCCTTTCTTTGACCCTGAACCTTCACTACCCTTCATATCTCATAGGCCAATATGTTTTCCTGCCCCATACTTTTACTAACTTTAAGAGAAGTTAGTACATCGACTAATAAAGTGAAAATGGGGGCAGGTTACAGATTCTGATTTCTTTTCTAAAACTTATCTTTACAAATGCTTTTCAAACCCAGTTATTTTGTTAATGACATAGATTCTGATTCAGCAGGTAGGGCCAGGATTCTGCCTAGAGATGCTCACGCTGCTGGTACTTGAACTGGAATTTGGTTGGCCTGTGCACTAGATTTGAAAAGCAGCTTTAATCCGTTTCCTTACCAGACTCAAGAGTCTATTGTAATCAGTCTGGGGTAAAGCTTAGGCATTTTTGTTTTGTCTTCCACAAGCTTCACAGATGATTTTCATAAACAGAGTGGAAGGTTAATGTTCTAACCTGGTGAGTCCCAAGCTTTAGTG